TTTTAATAATTTAACATAGCATTGTATTAAAAATCCACACATTTGAGATATTGCAATATAGTAATATAACGTGTCAGACATCCAAAGTTGTTAATCGATGAGTTTATATTTTCCAGGCAAATGATTCGCAGAAATTAAAATTTGCACTAGCCTCATGATGAATTACTCGCATAGCATCGATGAAAGCACTGAGTAAAAATTGTTCCAGAGAATAGTACTCAGATGAGAGACTGTTAAATATCACAACAGCTATATAGAAGTTGGTACCTACCCTCATAAGGATAATAAAAAACATCAATTTCAATAACAGCTTCAAATAACATTTCAATATTCAAGACAATATTCCTCAGGAGTATTTAATGTTTTTCCCCCTTTATTCATTCAGATGAGAGTGTTGCTGGCTAGGCAGCATTTATTGCCCATCCCTAAAATTTAGAGTCAACCACATTGCTATGCGTCTGGAGTCACATGTTGGCCAGGCAAGGTAAGGATAGCAGTTTCCTTCCCTAAAGGACATTAGTGGACCAGATGGATTTTTCCAACAATTGACAATGGATTTGTGGTCATCATTAGACTCCCAATTCCATATATTTATTGAATTCAAATTCCATCTGCTATGGTGGGATTTGAGCCTCAAGTCCCCAGAACATTATTTGGGTCTCTAGGTTAACAGTCCAGCAATAATACCACCAGGCCGTTACCTCTCCTCAATTCCAGTATTGAGCTTCCTTTTATTAAGCTACATGTGTATAGGGCAGATGTTCTTTCAGAAAGCGCCAGCAGATTACAGGAATTGAATGGAACTGCTTGTAATTATTTGAACATTGTATTGCTTCCTTTAGTCTTATCTACAAGCAATAACATTGCAGTCATATGCAACACCTACGATCTTCTCAATTTTAGTGCTTTTTTTTGCATTAACTAAAGAAGTTAGTAGAGACAGTGAGAGCACTATTTATTACAATTTTTATATTGTGTGAGATCACAATAATCCTTCAGTTTTTAATGGGGATAAAATGAATGCCTGTAATGCAGACGGTGATATGAAGCTGTGAAAAACAGATTAATCAAGATTACAGGAGATTTCCTTTGGTTTCTGCAGAGATGGATCAAAATCATTTGCTTAAATGGACCATAATAAACTTTAAATAAATTACTTTAAATACAACCTTTTTAATTCAGGCTATAGATTTCAATTAGGCATAGACACATTCATTATAATATGTCAGTATTTTCAAACTTCACAACCTACTGCTTTGAAGAAATTAGTTAATCAAAAACTGGTTGGGTGTTATGCACGCCTGAGATGGGTAAACACCTATCAGCACACTTAAAAGTATTCCAAACTAATAAGGATTTCAACATGTACAGTTTTTATTTATTTGACTTGGAGTGTACTTTTCCTTCCTGCAAGGACTCAAGCCAAATAACTAAGTCCAGAGAACATACAGACAGGACAGCAAGTGCCATAGCTCAGGGATTCCCAAGTAAAACCATTTTGCTTACCAACATAGGTAACTGCTAGTCCTACAGCTTGTCAGGTTATGGGCACCGCTACCCATGTGGGTACCTACTTGAAGGGTATTCTGTATCTGAGAAACAAGAGTTTCAGTCCCAAGTGTCCAATGACCAGATCCCATTCTTAAGCCCAACTAAATGTAAATGATGTTAATACCCCAGATTATAGCCCAACAGGTGAAGAAGCAGCGCTCCAAAATCTTTTAATTTCAAATAAACCTGTTGGACTTTAACTTGGTGTCATGTGACTTCTGACTTTATCCACCCCAGTCCAACACTGGCACTTCCACATCATTGATATCCCTGGTTATTGCATTACCAAATCTACCGTATATTATTGAACTAGTTCAGTACTCCTATTACTAACCAGCTTATCAACTTGAAGCCAGCTGACCCCAAGCAATACAATCAATTTCATTGCCAAACAAAATTGTGTTTAGTCATTATAGAATGGACTTTGAGGTACATATAACTAAAAACCTTTGTTCCTATATGGCTGCCAATAATATATAAACTATTTAATGATGTTTCAGAGGAGCATTATAAGACAAAAAATGATGAAGACTCATATAGCATGACAATATAGCTAATATTAACAGATAGGTAGCGACGATGTCATGGAGGGTTTTGAAAACAAGGATGAGAATTTTAAAACTGATGCATTGTTTGACCAGAAGCCAGGGAGATAAAGCATAAGTTCCCAAATGTGAGTTTATACTCCACTCCATTTGGGAGTATGATGTACAATTCAATGTATTACATTGGGTACATCTTGTTGGAAACCTAATGACCGATATGAAGATCAATAATGTTCATATGCCAAGAAATAACAGTACCCCAGTGAAACATAACTCTCTGCTGCAAAACTTTATAACTTGACATGGCATATGTGTAATGTAGAAAACAGCTGGGTGATGAAAATAGACAATCAGAATAATCCGTTAAGCGGTGTTGAAGGAGTTGAATAGGCACAAGACAGAAGTGTATTTGTGAGGACAGTTCTCTACATTGCGACATTTATATATTGGTGATGAAATGCTGCAGGTCATTTTGCACTTGTGAAGTGATCTATACCGATGAGGGAGTCTTTTTTCTTTCCTAATGACAAGAAGGCTCATTGAAAGCAGCAGTAAATTGAAAACATCAGTGAAGGATGAGACAGCACTCAAAAGGATAAATAAATTTTTAGTTTTCATTGCCAGAGCATTAAAGGCTGAGTCCTAGGACACACAGCCAAGCTTACTGCAGCCCCATTGGGAGTGCTGTGTACAATTCTGGACATTACATTGGGTAAACCTGACTCCAGAGACAGTACAGAGAAAGATGATTAAATTTATATGCAGGGTTAGACTTGTGAATTATGAAGCAACACCGTGGAAGCTTAGGAATGTCTACATTAGGAAAAGGGAGCTCTGGGGAAACCGATTAATGGATTTAAAGTTCTAATTTGTAAACTAAACTCCACAAAAAATGATGACGTAAGTACAAGGAGGTTTTATTTATTTATTCTTGTCCATGTTCCCATGATGTACCAAAACATTTTACAGTCATTAATTATTTTTGACGTCTTGTTATGTTGGCAAATACAACAGCCAAATTGAGCACACTGAGGTCCTATAAACAGTAATTACAATTACTTAATCTATGCTAGGGTGGTACTGATCGAGGGATAAATGTTGGAATGACTTCAGCAGAATTCCCATCCCCTTTTTCAGATGACATCATGGCCTGAATAGGCAGGTGGGGCTTGAGATTAACATCTCATCCAAATATTGGCAACTTAAACAATACAGCCCAATGAAGTCAAGGTGATGCTTACGTGGAGTTTGAATTTATGACCAACACATTCTGCAAACATGGTCCACCGCCTAAAAACAGGATCCTGGAAATGGATGTCTTATGTCTGGATACCAGCCAGATATTTTTTCATTCACCAATCCTCCTTTCTAGACATTTTCTAAACAACCAGTTCAGGGAGATGTTATTACACACCTCTGGAGCAGATAAGACTCAGGTCTCCTGGCTCAGAGATAGGAACATTACCTTTCTGTGCTGAGCCTAAGGGTCTGTCTGATTATCAGTGGTAGAAGGTAGACTATTAAAGTGTTTTAACAAAAGAAGCACCAACTTATATAACGAGGTATATTTTATTGCATGATAGCAACAGATACAGTTAACATTAGTTAGTTAGACATAATTACAATGATCAGGAACCAGGTATGCCACATCTGTCTCTATCGAGCTCTCATGCAAGACTGATTGTGGCTCCACCCAGAGACTGTGCGACACAATCAGATTGACTGGAATGCACTGCAACACAATATTAACTCCTTCAGAAACAATATCTCATACATTACAATGGTGGACAGTGGAGGCCCGTTTGAAAGGGAGGTGCTTCCTTTTGTGAAGGGCACCAGACTACTGTGGATGAAAGACTCGGCTCCTGATGGTGATCCATTGCTCACTCAGTGTTTCAGCAGACTCAGCCATGATTCAGGAATAACACTCTTGTCTCGGAGTAATGATTGGCCAAGTCTAGGCTGACACTCTGCAGCAGGACCAGAGTGCGGCACTGTTGTAGGAACCATCTTCTGGGTGAAACGTGACAAGGAGGCTGACCTTCCCACCTGATGGATTTAAGGTCACTAAAACAGACCAAATGCTCCTTACTCCATTGTGGGATTTTGCCGTGCGCAGTGTGATTCCTACAACACAACAATGACTTAAATGGCACACTGGGACCCCTCCAGCTCATAGAAGCCGCTAAATGCAAGAGGCTTCCTCTTATACTTTCCTGCTAACCTGTGAGCACAAAAAAAGTTTTCTGCTCTTAGGCAAAAAAAAAGACAATCCCAGAATGAAATGGCTGCATCAAATAAATCAACCCAAATTGAATTAACCTTCAAAAACGTTGCACTAAATAATGTTGAAAATGTTCAGTCTGATCTGTGTGTTGCCAGTGTGTCTCTTGAGAATAGCCCTGAGCCCAAATACGGCACGAAGCGGCAATGGGGAATGTAGCCTGAGTGCCATGAGGAAGCTGATTAACCTCCAGAGCCACCAGCGAACCACATCTCCATCATTGCTCACCCCCTTGTTTCCTGCTACGTCAGGCTGCTGCAAACGAATCTATTTCACACTCGCGTATAAAAAGCCCCGAAGTGTGAGAGCGAGCTGAGAGCTGCGATCTCCAACTAGATACAACAACAACAACAACAAGAAAGTTACGGGATGATTTCAGGAATTCCAGTGGGAATGACCGTGTTGCTGACAGCAGAGTGGTAGTGAGGAAGGGAGACGGGAGGATCAGATGGGAAGATGGGCTGTGTGTTTTGGATGGACTGGGAGCGGATGCAGATCCCAGTGATCTCTCCCCGGAAGAGTTAAGCGGCGAGTTTGGGATCTGACCGTGCTGCCCCGTTACTGTGTCTGTTGCTCGGCTCCGGGAGGGGAATATGTTGATGTATGTGGGAATGCGCTGCCTGAGCTTGGAGCCTCGCTTGGTTGCTAAGCGGCCAGACAGCCCTCACCTTTGGAGAGAATTTGCAGCGAGCCAGGCAGCTGGGGGGCTCGACCTCTTGGACAGCCCCAGCTAGAGGGGCCGAAAGCTCTCGGACAGCCGGCTCTGCAGGGCCCTCCAGAACAAAAGGAGGACGAGTCAGAGGGAGAGGGGAAGTGTTGGTTTGATTCAGGAGGAGCTGGGAACCCGGTTCTGGAGCTGATCAGCCCAGATGCTGTGGGCACTGTCCGAGCTGATGATGGATATTAACGGGAGCTTGCTGAGTAATCTCCGCCGCCCAGGGAACCTGGCCAAGACGCTGATGAGAGGCAGCTCCGTGGACCCCCACCCATTACAGGTTAGCCCCTGCCCCAGCCCGGCTGCCCCCTCCAGCTTGGGGAGCCAGGCTAACGGCACTGACTGCGGCCAGCAGATCCTGCCGCCGTACGGAGACACTGAGAAGGTGATCATCGGGGCCATTCTGTCCATCATCACCCTGCTGACCGTGTCCGGGAACTGCCTGGTCATGATCTCCGTCTGCTTCGTTAAGAAGCTCCGGCAGCCTTCCAACTACCTGATCGTGTCCCTGGCCCTGGCGGACCTGTCGGTGGCGGTGGCCGTCATGCCGTTTGTGATCGTTACCGACCTGATCGGCGGCCAGTGGATCTTCGGGCAGCTGTTCTGCAATGTCTTCATCGCCATGGACGTGATGTGCTGTACCGCTTCCATCATGACCCTATGTGTCATCAGCATCGACAGGTGAGCTCCCACAGGCCAGCACCTACCTGCCTCTCCCTCCCCACCCTCCCTCACTCCTCCCTCACTACCCTCCCTCACCCACTATCCTCCCTCTCCCTCCTTCCCTTCTCTCCTTCTCCCGCCCTCCCTCCATACCCTCTCTACCCTCCTTCCTCCCCATCCCTTACCTCCCTCACTACCCTCTCTCCTCCCTCCCTCTGCCTCACCTCCTTCACCACCCTCCCTCACCTCCCTACCCTCTCTCTCTTCTCCCCATCCCTCACTACCCTCCATCCTGCCTCCCTCTCCCTCACCTCCTTCACCACCCTCCCTCATTATCCTCCCTCCCTCACTACCCTCCCTTCTCCCTTCCCCACTACCTATCGCTCCCTCCTTCCCTACAGTCCTCTCTCCCTCTTCTGCCCTCTCTCACTACCCTCCCTGCCTATCCCTCTCCTTCCTCACTACCTTCCCTTCTCTCTCCCTTTCCCTCCGTCTCTCACTACCCTCCCTCACTGCCCTCCCTCCTCCCACCCTTTCCCTCCCTCCTTCACTATCCTCCCTCCGTGTCTCCCTCCCTCACTACCCTTCCTCTTCTCTCCCTCTCCATCCGTCTCTCCCTACCCTCTCTGCCTATTTCTCCCTCCGTCCCTCACTACCCTCTCTCCTCTCTCTTCGTCCTCCCTCTTTAATGAGGTCACCTTCCAGGGAATGAAGCGCGGTTCCAGACCCGACAACCCGAGCGGGTTCGATGATTAAGAATTGGTTGAAGTATCAATGTCAGAGAGAAATGCACAGTGTGTCCATTTATCTTTGCCTCAGCCCCTCCGAACGGTAGCCCTCAGGTAGTTTGAGGTGAGCCCGGGGTAAAACTCGCTGTTGGTCAAGACTGCGTTAGACACTCGTTTCCTCCCGCTGCGGGTAGGTGGATAGCTGCATTCTGTTAGTATTCAGCTCAGCTAAACATTTCCACTTCAAGTTCTCACGTAAGGTACAGCTATGTGAAAGTATCATTTTGGGTTGATTTGTTAGTACTGCAGTGAACTCTTCCTCAGCGACACTGCTGGCTGGTTTCCCTGTTGTTATTTGTAAAGGACCAGCGCTAATGGTCAGCGCCCAGCGCTTTCCCTTCACTGATTGAACAAGTGAGAGGCGCACACTCTGTTTTTATTTGGAGGTGTCTTGAACAGCTCCAGAGGAAGCGGTCAGTGTATTTTTTTTAAAAAATTCAGCTTCACACTTGCACAGAACTCACTAATAATCTGGTTACAAACTGCGAATCCACAACAGGTCAGATAGAAACAGTTAACTTTTCGGGTCGGCGGCTGCTTGCACATTTCTGTACAACAGAGCCATGCGGGGTACCAAGAATATCGTTACAAGATCCGGCTGAACATTTAATGGTACAAACTGAGAGCAGTATTTTCCTGCCCCCTCCAGCCAGCATGCTGATAGTATGCCCGGTCCTTTTAATTGTCGCGCGTTTAAATTCAGATAAAAGCCCTTAATCGAAGACTTAAGTTTTTTTTAATGCTCTGAAAGTCCCCAAGGCCGAACAACAAAGCGTCAGTTTTTGACTCGAAATCGTTGACATTCAATGTATTTTAATGCAGTAAGGAAACCCTCCTGTAAGGAAAGGATACCACGACAGCTCCTTAAGGCAAAATACGTCTGATCTGTATAGTATTATTTGGGCAGGTTTGTTCATTTTCCCTTTTGCAATTTACAAAAGCAAAGTTTGGCAGTTTTACTTAAACCCATCTATTGTATAGTTCCACTGTAAGTTGTACCTGTGTCCTTGTCATGTACTCCACAGTTCCTTACATTCCAGAGTCATTGTTTGGAAAAGATAATCTTTATTTCCTGGCAAGCAGGAATGGAGAATGTGTCACTTTAAAGGTCATTCCACACCACTGGACTTGGTGAGTTCCTCCAGTGCATCTTGTAAATGGTACCCATTGTTTCTGCTGTGTTGGATGAGCTGCTAGTCAAATGGGTTGCTTTATCCTGGATGGTGTTGAGCTTCTTGAGTGTTGTTGAAGCTGCACCCATCCAAGCAACTGGAGAGTATTCCATCACACTCCTGACTTGTGCCTTGTAGATAGTGGACAGACACTGGGTCAATTATGCCTCCAAGATATTGTTGGTGGGAGAATTCAGCAATGGTCTTGGCACTTAACACCAATGATGGTTAGATTCTCTCTTCTAGGATATTTGTTACTTTACATTTGCATGGCATGTATGCTGCTTGTCACTTACCATCCCTGGCCTGCTAGCTGTCCTCTGTTTACCTCTTCACTATGCTATACTATCTCCACTGTGTGACACACTGTTTAGTTGCAATTTAAATAACAATGCTCAGCTACTGAGCATTAGGGCCAAATATCATGATTTTGAAATAGCATTTGAAGAGAATGATTCAAGAAAACAACTGCAGAAATTCGAGAAGAACCTATATTTGGATGAGTCCAAATACCGAAGAGTCTATTTAATAATCATGGTGCCTACAAATATAGCACACATGCATAAACTAAAAAACACAGTTTAAGTGTTAATGTACTCAGTGGCAATATAGTTCCACTTCAAGATGGGATGTGGCTTTGAGCAGAACTTACAGGTGGTGGTTTCCCTATGTATCTGCTGCCTTTGTCCTTCTTGATGATAGAGGATGTGGCTTTAGGAAGTGCTGATGAAAGGAGGTTGATAAGTTGCTGCAGTGCATCTTGTAGATGGTACAAACTGTGCCACTGCACATTGGTGGTGGAAGGTGTGAATGTTTAAGGTGGTAGATGATGTCCTGATCAAGCAAACTGCTTTGTCCTGGATGGTGTCAAGCTTCTTGAGAAGTTTTGGAACTGCACTCATTCGGGAAAGTGTGAAGTACTCCTTCACACTTCTGACTTGTACCTTATAGATTTCCAGTAAGATGGCGGTGGAATAGGGCTTCTGAGCCCAAGGCTTGTCTGCTCTGTCTGCATTTTATTTTTTTTTTATATATTCTTTTTTATCTCTTCTATTTTATTTTACTTACCTCTTGGTCGCGGTGATGGCATCAGTGGCGGCAGGTGGACCCAGCGCAGACTCCAGTAGGCCAAGCAGCGCAGACTCATGCTAGCAACGTCAGAGGTGAGTTTGGGTTCCTGGCAGCTTCTGCATCAACGAGGCGGTCCTTGTGCCAACACATGGCTGCTGCTGCGGAGACAAGTTTGAGTTCCCAGCGGCATCTGCTTCCAGTGTAGATTCATGGATGAAGCAGTAGAAGCGAGTTTGGGCCCAGTATGAGACCCAGTGGCATCAGCAGCGGTTGCATTGGCGAGGTGGGCCCAAAGCAAAGTCATGGCAGTTGAGGACTCGAGTTTTGACTGGTTGGGTACCTGGCAGCATCCATGGCGTTGGCGACTGCAACGAAGACTCAGAGTGGTGAAGGCGTTGGTGGAGGCAAAATGGGACCAAAGAATGGTGACACTCATTCCAGTGGTGGCAGTACAGCAAAGGGGTCTCGTGCCTGGCCACCAGACCCACAGCCCATGATGGAGCATTTAACAAGGAGGACTGTAAAGCTGGACACTCTTTATTTCTTCATTTTTCTGCCTTTATATTTTAAGTTTTGATTTACTTTTCTGTGCTTTAAGACGGCGCTGGAGAGTGGCGACACTATACAACTCTTTTCACTGTATTTTGTAACAAGGTACACATGACAATAAATAAATCAAATCAAATTATAGAGAGGCATTGGGGAGACAGAAGGAGAGTTACTTGTTGTGGAATTCCTAGCATTTAACCTACTCTTGTACCTGTTGCTCATTCAAAAATGTTTCTCTGAGATGGAAACTCCAAGTGTGTTGATACTGGGAATTCTGCAAACGTCATGAGGTTGAATACCAATAAATGTCAAAGGGAGATGATTACAATCTCTCATGCTGGAGATATCCATCACTTGTGTGACATGAATATGCCTTCCCACTAAGCCTAGATTTTGTCCAGATCTTGCTGCATTTGGACATGTATTTCTCCAATTTCTGAGTGGTTGTGAATAGCATTGAACACTAGATAATCATCAACGGATATTACAAGTTGCTTCAGCTGCTTGGCATGCAAGCATTTCTGAGCCTACTTAATATTCCAGGCATTATATAATGGAGACTTCACCAACTGGTTTTTGCTGATATGAAACTCCTTTTATCATAAAAGCAGACCATCTCTATTAAATAGTAGAAACTCCCTGATAATAAGACAAGTAAACACAAAAGCTATGTTAAATAGCAATATCTATTTAAATAGAAGAGTTATACTTTTGCTGTTTAAGATGAAAAAAGTCTGTCTATAGAGTAATAAGAATCAATTTTTGATTTACACAAATAGTAGGCTTAGTAAGTTATCAGAGAACCTTGCAAACATATACCAGCAAGGTATTGGCAATGTATTAGAGGATTAACAGCATCCCTGATACTACAATCTAGGAAGATACCAAGTGAGATTTTGGAACGATCTGCAGTTTTGGAATTATGCTCTAGGCTGGTAGAAGCTAAGGTATCAGAGACTCTCCCATATTCTTGTAATATCAGGTGGCATATCAGAGAATGAAGATTATCTTTGTTACAATATCGCAACAAGGTACCATATACCTCTGGAAACACTTGGAACAATTGAAAGCTAATGATATGTTCAGATAATTGTTGTAGGATAAGAGAAAATGTGGACAGAATATTTTTTAAACAGGCAAAGGTAGGATTCTCCATAAAGTGTGATGTGCTCCTTAAGATTTGAGGAAATGACATTAGTTTCCCTCAAAGAGTGTATTATTAAGGACTTTCGAAAATCATGGGGATTTGGGGCAGTTCCTGTGTGGTGGTTCTATAATGGACTAGTCATGGAGCTATGTGGTTGAATTCCAGTATGGCAGATGGTGAAATATGAATTTAATAAGTATTTGGAATTAAAAGGTAGTCCAATAAAAACCATGGATAAAATCCCATCTGGTTCATTAATTCCTTTCGGGAAGAAAATCCGCCATCCTTACC